GAAAATGCTAACATCTAAGGCAGTGATCCACACATCATTAACGTGGTGCCAAGTCTGTGGGTCTAGTCTTGCCTCTTGGCTTCAGTAGCATGACAGACTCTAAAGCAGAGCTACTCAACTTTGGAAGCCCTGGAGAACACAATGATACTCACAGGACATGCTGAGGACCACAACTGAAGTGTGGTTGCACATATGGGCAAATATATATGCTAATATATGCAAATAGCTTCTTTCACACTGATGGGCATGAATACAAAGATCAAGCTTTATGCGGAGCCAGACCCATATGTGGCCAGTGTGAGCCAGTCAGCACCTCTCAGGCTCTTCCCACAAGGTTATGCAGACAGCACTTCCCATACCTACACTCTGGGGGCTAGAAACACCAACACCCTGCACCCGTCTGATGCAGCCAGCACGTCTCCTTGCATCTTTCAGAACTTGCTCCGCTGGAAGATGCCTCACTGTTGTGGAGCATGTTCACACTGGAGGGCATGTTCAAAGGATCCCACCCGTGGGCCGTGTGTTGAGCCTTGTATCAACCCAAACCACCCTACAGGCTACAAACAAATGGGCCGTGTATTAAGTAGCCCTGCTCTAAAACAAAGTCAAGTCATTAGGAGGTGAAGTGCAATATAATGGTAAACAGAAAGTTTAGGAGGAGACTTAAGAACTGGCTTCAGATTTGGTGTTGCTCACTGTTAAAAAAGAAATAAAAACAAGGAGTAAGGAGGAAAATGTATGATACATACACATCTTAACTTGGACCCTCTAACAGTGATGCTATTCCTAATCTCTAAAACAAGTTCTGGTACAGGCAGTCCCCGGGTTATGTACAAGATAGGGACTGTAGGTTTGTTCTTAAGTTGAATCTGTATGTAAGTCGGAACTGGCATCCAGATTCAGACGCTGCTGAAACTGACCAGCGGCTGACTACAGGAAGCCTGAAGCAGAGTTGCTCTGCCCCGGGCTTCCTGGAATCAGCTGCTGATCAGTTTCAACAGGCTGAATCTGGACGCCAGTTCCGACTTACACACAGATTCAACTTAAGAACACCAGGCATCCCCAAGTCAGCTGCTGCTGAAACTGATCAGTGGCTGATTCTAGGAAGCCCGGGGCAGAGCAACTCTGCCTCGGGCTTCCTGTAGTCAGCCACTGGTCAGTTTCAGGAGCGGCTGGAAATG